ATTAAATAAAAGACGAATAAGATCTGCTGTACAAGTCATTGAGTTAAAACTATGATTATGCATAACAGTATGAAAAGCTAAGGTTATTTCTTTGGCCGCTAATTTCAATGATTCGTCATTAGCTTTTAATGGTGTAAAAAAATTATTTACTTTGCCAGATGTCAATGCAGCCTTTTGTGCTATTTTATGTTTATTGGATTTCATATGATATGTTATATCAGTTTTCCCTCCATGGCTAACTGAAAATGTACTCAAACATACAGTACATTGCACATCAAAATTATTGTCGGTTTTTACCTTTTTAATAAATGGAAATTCATTTTGGAGTTTGTCAGTGAAGCTGCATAATCGTTTTGGAGCCATGATGTTTAAAATAATAATACGTAGAATAGCATAAAAATAAAAATTAATAACTACAACACAGAACACAGCAAAGTAATTTAATACTAAATACGTATGACTGAAGAGTGAAGACTAATATATGACTATAATATACGACTAATCGTTATTTCTATAAATTGTATACGCTATGTCATTATGAAAGTTTATCTGTAAAATTATCGGTCCTCGGCTATCTCGGAAATTTCCGACAATTATTTATTGTTTGTTATTCACACGTGAACAATTCGGGACTTATTTTAAGAAACCGGTACTTATCCACGTCCCGGCCGGGAAATGAAAACAATCGGGACTCTGTAGTAAAAACCGGTAGTGTCCCGGCGAAATCGGGACGAATGGCAACCCTACTATATATTCATAAGTCTTGTGTAAATCCAATTGTTTTCATTTTTTATTGGAGTTGAATCAATTATTAATTTAATGATTGGTATATTAAAAATAAATCTTAAATAATAAATTTTTAGAAATAATACATCACATTTATGACATACATCATTCTTTCGTTTCTTTAATGAGAATTTTAACTTGTGAAATTCATCTTCATACAGTTTTCTTAACACATGATTTGTAAGACTCAAACAATATAAACCATACAATTTTTTAAGATTCAAATATTATTTTAATAATTTTATTGTAACAACTCAATTACCAATGTTGACTGAAATATAATTATTTCTTATTTTGTCTTAATAAAACGATCTATCTTGACTTAAATCAAATGTATTAATAATCTCCTCCCAGAATTTAGACCTACAGTGACCTACTTGACGGACTTTGAAGCAGCTTCGAGAACAGAACTTATCAGGCATTTTCCAACAGCTGTAACCCAAGGGTGTTGGTTTCGTATTAACCAAGTGTGTAACTTTTAAATTAGAAAACTGTAATACAATATTCATTAATATACGTAAAAATTGTCCACGTTACAGCCAATAAAAAAAACACTGCAAAATGCTCACAATTTTCTAATTTTTCTGTAACTCCGAACATAATTATTTTAAGATATTGTTAAGGTAGATACCAAGTAGTTAATTTTATAATGCCTGCTAAAATATGAGCATTAGTAATTCTAATATAAGTATTAGATTAGATGTATATTACAATTTAAAAAAGCTAAGGTAATTATTTAGGTAATTCTAACATTACTAAACATTACGATTAAAGTCTCCATAAGATAACTTTCATAATAATAATGTCTTGCGATAAACAGATCACTCCTTATACTGTTGAACTGTATCTGTTAATTATTTATTCAATTTGAACAAAACTTGAATTACTAAATAACCAACTGCTTTGTTTGATAAACTAAACAGTTGTCTTATATTAACATGACACATTCCATATAGCTCGAAATGATAGTGTTCGTGTAATCTTCGAAGTAAAAAAAACTTGATCTAAATAAAAATAAAAATTAATATTCCTGTTAAATCATTTATGTAATATGACTAACATGTAGTTATTACTTATAATAGTAATATTTTATATTATTTACCTGACGTTTAATTCTAGGGTTTTTTTCTATTAAGGATCGTTGATGTAAGACAAGACTCATCCGATTTACCTGATAATACAAAAATTAAATGTGAAATAAGTCGAACATACTAATAATTTTAATACAAAACGTACATTATATAGGTACATGCACTATCTGTGTCTTTGTTACTAAGAAAGTGTTATTATTAGTTTTTTACATGGAGTATTTTAATATTTATTCATTTTTATTCACAGATGTTACCAAGTATTCAGAGTAAATGGAAAATAATTCTAAAGAGCTAATTAAACTTACAATAAATTCAATTAATACATAATATTATAATATAGAAACCTCTTTTTCGGTGGCGTCACCAATCGTGTATAAAAGTATGACATTGACTATTCTC